GCCTATAATCTTTTATGTCCTCAGCCCCTTGATTGTAAACACTACCACCAATCAAGGCTTTCCAAATCTTGCAAACCTCCCAAAACAACAAATTACCAGGATATGAACAAAACAGGTTAGATATTCAAAATGAAAAATAGGTGAATTCTTAAATTGAGAAAGTGTTTAAGTCGAATGAATCTTTCATAGAGAGGACTTCCCTCACCACAAGTCTCCTCAGAATTTAACTCTCCTCCCACTGCATGAACCATACATAATACAATGAGATGTTTGCCAAACAAAAATACACAGAATGTACAACTCTTACTAGCACATGTTCTCTGCTAGACAATTCAAAGATCAGCACATATACAACAAACTCGAAAAACCATCAACACCCATACTCAAGCCTCAGTCCTCAAGAAAAGGAATACTTTCTTGAAATTACAAGCTATTTAGAGTGAAGATCAATATACCAAATATAAGCACAACTCTTTTGAGTCAAGATGAGAACAAAAAAAATATTGTCAAGATTCTTTCAACACAGACAACAAAAATAACAAAACAATAGTGACTATGCCAAATTTTCAACCAAGAAGTAGGTCTCTTCAAAGATGCAACTAATCCCTTCTTTCAAAAAGATTTGAGAGAAAGCAGATAAAACATCTTCCATAAAATTCTTCCCTAGAGCCAAAAGCATCAAAGATCCAAGGGCTCATTAAGTCAAGACAATTAAATGGGAGGTCCAACCTACTATCAACTCAAAGGAAAAATTAAAATGCACCTTTTTCAAGAGCAGTGGAGCAAGAGGTAGTTACAATTATTAGCAAGTCTCAACCCCATCAACCAGCAACCAAAAGAAGTTCATCCTATATGGGACCATATTAATCCAACCAACCCATCTAGGAACATAGAAATAAAAGAGAAGAAAGATCGGTATAGAAAAAAAAATTGGCTGAGTATTCTTCCCTGCTTCCAATCTGTCATCCTCCTCCGGTCCTCCCTGACACATATATCAATTCTCAAAAGAAGCTAAATGACTGCTCAATCTCCCAATAATATAATATTAGTGGGGCCCATGCAGTCCATGGGAAAATCCAATATTCAATATGATAACCGGAAATTGTTGTTAATTTAATAACCAAAAATAATTATGATGTAAAGATAAAAGAAATATTTATATTAAAATGATACAAATGAGACCCATTGATGCCTCTCATTTTACTTCTATAAACGCCAAAGTTTTCCCCTTGGGAAACAGGTTAAGAGTTTCATCACATGTGGTTGAAGTAGAAACCAAGCCAAATCCTATATTTATGTATCCAGTTATGCCTTTCTCTACCTCATGTACTTGAACAACTTTGAAGTTGAAAAGAGACTGCCTCCTTCCACCCCAAAAGCCCTTGTTGACGTTCAGATGAGGTAGATCGCACCCTCTCTCTCAGTCTCCCATTCTCTCAAACGCATTGCCAGCATTCAGATGAGGGTGATCTTACCCTCTCTTCAACATTCTCAAACCCTTTTCCTTCAAAAGTTAGGCCTCTCAACCTAGATTATCTAATCCGTAAAAAGTTTAGAATTCTCAAGAAGAAAAAGAGATTGAGCAAGAAAGTGGAAGAGAGAGAGAGAGAGAGAGAGAAGTGGTGGTGATGAAAGTGAGTGGGGAAGATAAGTGTGTTTGTACTTGGAAGATAAGTGTGTTTGTCTTCCTTATGTAACCTCTTTGGTGAATTAATGAAATTGTTATTGATCAAAAAAAAAAAAGTGAGTGGGGAAGAGAGAGAAATACATAGGCCTTTGGTTTTACTTTCGTGAGAAGACAGAGACAAGGGGTTTAGATGGTAAGACCAGACAAAAGTTAGAAGAGACACCAATTAAAAGATGAAGCGGATAAAATACTGCAATGCCAGTTCAACCAAACCCACATAAAACCGCACCCCAGAATCCCTAATCCTAGATTCCAAACGTTGAGCACAGAGTGCCCCTCTGTACCCCCATTTCCTTTTAGGTATATATATAAGATTTCTCGAATCTCAAGCATACAGAAAATTGCCAAGAGAGAATTCATGCTTTACGCAAGGACATGAAGATCATCCAAAGTACAGCAGAACAACAAGCATCACCAAAGAATTACGTCTAAGAACAGTTTTAGTTCAAATTCTATGCCTCTTACAGTCATAAAGAATCTCACAATAATCCAACAACATAACTAGGATCAATAACATGGTTCACCCCATTATTTTCATTTTTAGCATCAGTCACTCTTTTTCAATGGCATCACCTTCTTTCCATACTATGACACCTACTTGCCAAGGTACAATTAACTTCTTTGATACACCAGAAACCAATGTAGTTCAGCCATTTAAAGCAATAGAAGATGCAGCACATCAACTTCTGGAGAGATTTGGGCATCTCAAAGTTACTAAAACATATGATGGAAGAAGGAATCAAATGGCTGCACCCAAGATTTAGAAGCTGAAAGCAATTTCTAAATTTATAGCTCCTGCGTTTTTTTAAACCATCTGTTTGTATCTCCAAGGGGTGTCCTATACTTTTTAGAAGATATGCAATTAGTATTTTCCTTTTTCTGTTTAGGAAATTATTAGTTTCACTTAACCACTAATTTGCTGTATTTTTATTTTCAGAACTTCTATTTTTAGGAGTTCGTACGATTCTAATTAGGAGTCAGCTGCAGTTTTAGCAGTTTGGCAAACTTCTAAGCTTTGAGGAGTCTATGTTTACTTGTATATCTATCCAGAACAGCAGAATTGAATAAATTATTTTTTATTCTTTTCTTTTGATAGTCAACATAAATTCATTAAGAAGCCCAGCATTCTCAAAACAGAAGCATCAACAAAAATAGTACAAGGCTTGCTCCTAGGCTTGGAGCACAAGATACAATCCAGCCAACAAACAGCTCATACAATCCAGGAACCGGTCAGGCCGTTTTTCCCCAAAACCAGATTTTTGCCAAAAACGTTGATTTGGTCAGGGAACCAGACCCCTGACCGGTTTGTTGTCCAGGCCGGTTTTAAAAACCTTGCATATAAGAATATCTTTATTCTTCTCTATACTTGTTCTTTTTCCTCCTCTTGAAATCAGTTCTGGAGACACACATGATTTCTTCTTTTCTATTTGTTGTTTTCTAGTAGTTCTCTGCTCCTAGAAGAAAATCAGCAATTATTCCTTGGATTTTCCCCTAGATTCAGTGCATACTTTGTTGAATTTCGAAGCAAGGCTACCCATTGACCTTGCCACCTATCTACCCAACTCCTACATTAGAAACCAATATCATATTGCTTATTAGGTATGCAAAAATAGTCTCACAAGGAACTAAAAGTACATTTGAATCACGCAATCTTGTACAGTAAAGTTTCTTCTCAACACATACAGAGTAGTAGCAATACTGGTGATGGCGTAAGGCCATTTCAAAGAGTCTGAAAATAAACCTCAAAACCAAAATTCTAGACAGAAATTCTACATAAGTTGCATAGAGTGTATGTAGAGCTGGTCTTCCCTTACAAAAATATCAGCACACCCGATACCCAAAGCCAACGGTGCGCATTGGCATGTATTGATATGAGCAATACTGTCCTTTTTTTTTACTTTTTTATTTTTAGAGGATTGGGAAAGAGACCTCCAAACTTTTAAATATTTTAAAGCACTTTTGTTTCAGTGTTTACATGCATATCTGGATGCACCAATGTGGAATCGTATTGATATTTTAATCCTTGCAAGCAACTCAAAAGATAGATGGATGGATAGATAGATATTAATGAGATAGAAGAGAGATGCAAACCAAAAAGCTTCGCAATGGAGAATCCAACCAAAGATTCCAGAAACGAAGGGCAACTAGACAACATATACAAAGTACAAGCCCCATGCTACCAAAGTAACTCAATACAAAAGAATTTCTCCTCAGCCCATCTGGTAAGCAAATCAATGGTCACATTAGCAGATCTTCAGGTCAATAAAGAAAAAGGGGTTTAGTACAGAAACCAAGGATAATGCCTTGTGAAGAATATTTTCATTCTCAAAAATAATCAGAGAAGGGTCAGTTAGCTAGCCAATAATAATCTGAATCGGGGGTTGTGTTTGTAGTGGGCCTGACAAGATCATAATAATACGCATAATTTGGCTGCGGAAGGGATTCTCCAGAATGACAAGTACAGAACTTATCCATCTATTGAGTTCTAAGAAGGTTCTAAGATGGACAATAATGATGCTTTGGGAGTAAACCTGAGGTAGAAGTGGAATTAGAAGATGTGAAGATTTTATCCCTTTTGATGAAACAGTTCAGGTTCAGAAGATGGTGGATTTAGAAAATGTGACTGCAAACAAGTTCAAATTAGTAAGGAGTTTGGTTTGTTCTTCTTTGGGGTTGATGACTTTTCCAGAAAAGTATTCATGGGATTGGAAAAAAATACACAACTAGTGCCAATGAAATTGCAAACGTGGGTCAATACACTAGTGTGTTTCTAACTTGGTTTTAATCAATGAATAAGAAGTTAAAATTTTCAGCAGTACTAAGGATGGCAGGCTGTTTATTGAAGGGATGATCAAGGGTTGAAATGGAGTTGAGTGACTTTTCTTGCTGAAGTTACGTTGGGTTTTAATTGTAGATTGTGGGTTTAGGCCCTTTTTGCTGTTTTTAGAGGTAAGCATGTGAAATTGGAATTTTTAGGAAGGTTATTTCCATGGTGATTTCCTGTCACAAATCCTTGTATTTTTTTTAAATGAATTTTCCTTTGTTATAAAAAAATTACAAACTAGCAGTCATCTTCAACTATATAAGAAAACTTTCTTCTATATTTATAAATATAAACATAGCAAGATAGCAAAGTCAGTGGCCCTGGAAAGAAACAATATGCACAGAGTACTAAGAAGATCAATTTGTCATGCTAACAACAGCAATGATGAAAGATGACTAACAATAACAAAAGAAGTACAAAGTCATTCTCAGAAGCTGCCATTAAAACTTCGGCATACCTTGAGGCTTTTTCAACTATAAATTCTATAAATCATGAGATCAAACCAATTACATGTTGAAATTGGGTCTGAAGAATTCAGTTGCTAGAATGTGTCAGTAATCTACACAATAAAGCTGCTCCTGTTGAAAACAAGAATCATATCATCAGAGAATTAAATGAGTATGATGGTCCAATAATTAAAAGCTCCCTCCATCTGATCAATTTGAGTTTGGGAAACTCTTCAAAATCGTAAAACTACAAGTTAGCTATTAGTACCCACTGCATGAAACTGGTAAAGAAATGTCCTATTTGTCTTCCATTATCTCACCCCCTTTGCAACTAATTCTAGCTGATTTTATGTAGGAAATAAGAGATTCTCCGACACTACCTAAAGCACTTCTTCCAACCAGCCTTACCCCATAGTTGCGATTCAGCACCCTCACCCTATTTCCATCTCCATCAACTTTACTCAACTCCATGGCCTGCTTTCTTGAAATCAAGCCATAAAGGAATAGAGATCCAGATTCCAGCTTCTCCCCTCCAAACCCCACTCGCAACAGTGAAGTTGAGTCAATATCAACTGATCTTGGATCAAACAGAACTGAAAAGCTTCCAAATGACAGATCTGGAGTTTCAAACAGCTCATCCAGTTCCTGACCATTCTGTATAACACTATTGGTTTTCTCTAGTGGGGTCAAAGACTTTGCATTAGCCTCCAGTGGAGCCAATGACCTTCTGTTGGCTACTCTTAATATGTTAGCAGCCTCTCTCAAGCCACTAAGAAAAGCTCCATGCATTGTTGCAGGATACCGTCGGTTAGTTGCCTCACCAGCAAAGAAGACCTTACCATCTCCTACACTCTCAGCAAGAACATCGTAATCATCCCCAGAAGCCCCAACTGCAACATAAGAATAAGAGCCATATGTGAACCGATCTTTTCCCCATCGTGTACAAACAACCTGAACTGGATTTGGAACAACAATCCCTTTTGGAGTGAAAATTCTTTTCAATATATCCATTACTCTTCCTACAGCATCCACAGGAGATCTTGTTTCAAACTTTATTGCAGATTCCCCTGCCACCAAAGCTATCAGAAGTGGACCCCCAGCAACAGACGAATAGCTATAGAACAAAAAGAACTCACCCCGCATACTGGAGTCTTCTGATAAATGTCCGAACGTATCAATTCCACCACCCCAAAAATCGTAAGGGAACAACATTGCAACCTTATTTAGCAATCCAAAACCTAACCTTTGAATTGCTTCTTTCTTTGGCTGCGGAAGCTCAGGGACGAACTCAATAGACCCTCTCTTCAATACACCAAGTGGCACTGTACACAGAACCATGTCCCCTCGGAACACCTGCCCACCTGCATATACCATAACCCCATCAACTCCATACCGTATGCTTTCCACATTTCGTTCATAAAAGATAGGAAGATCCTCAGCAAGCGCACGGATGAACCTTCCATTTCCTCCAGGAATGAAGCAGTGGTCTCCGCCCATCTCATATGGATCATCTTGGTCCCAGAACGCCATTGAAAGGTCAGATAACAACGAAGCATTTGCATATTCCAGGTTTGCAAGATGCCAATCCAAGAGCATTCGTTCTTGTGGATCCTCAGCGACCTTATAGACATGCCTGAAAGCTTCAAGTGCAGTCCCTAAAGAAACATCTACAGATTGAACATCCTCCAGCATTGTTTGCCGAAGCTTGCATACCTTATCTAAAAGCCGATTGAAAGAAACCTCCACCCTCTTATCCATTTCGGAATTTACTGCCCTCCCATCTGGGAGATAGAGGGGGCATATATCGCGTACCTTGTGAAGAGGAAATCCCAACTGCCTGGCCAGGACGCCTAGAGGATTCCCGTTGATTCCAGTGAGAACGCTTCCCCCGAGGTCCGCTGCAGCTACTACACCATCACCCTCCATCTTTCTAGTCCGAACGCGTCCGCCTGGTCGGTTCCTACCTTCCAAGACCACGACTTTAAAACCTAATGAGAGGAGATGACGGGCCGCTGCAAGTCCAGCCAAACCTGCGCCAACAATAACAACGTTCGCCTTCTCGGCTCCTTCAGGAGGTCTAAAGGTGGCTTCTTTGATAGCTGGAGCGAGTCCGAAATTAATGTAGCCATGCTCAAGGAGAAAAGAGTAGGCCGAATTAACAAGCCCTCGATGTTCCGACCGAATGGACTCGAGCGCATGGTCTCTGGTCATCCAAACAGAGACATTCGACCGCCACCGGGCAAGGATATGGTTTCGAACGACGATGTAGTTGGCCTGCTCCACTCCGCCGAGAGTTGATACGACGTTGCACTCGATCTCCTCTTCGGTAAGAGAATCCACCGGGAAACCAACGGAGATAGCAATCAAGGCTTCGATGTCAACTTCCTTGGCAAGGTCGGCAATTTTACGGCGCCGACTCTTGGAGGCGGAAGGGTAGTCGTTGATCTGCATCTGAATGATCTCGTCCATCAGCTTCTCACTATATACGTTTGACTTGGCATGAGGACGGAGGACACGGAGGCCGTTTACGGCGGCAGCTGAGGGAATCATCTCTGGGAACTGCTTCTTTCTGCGGCGACGTTTCTTCGCAGGAGGAGCATTTTCATCCTCTTCCACCGGCGAATGTTTTTGGGGTGCCTCCGCATGATTTTCAGAAAGAGGTTCCGAAGCATCTTTGTTGCATTTTTCTAACAGAGAATCCGTTAGGTTGGCTTCTGGTGGAATTTGCGGGGTAGGAAGATGGTTTTCTGATGTGATTTGCGGGGCAGGAAGGCGGTTCTCCGATGAGATTTGCGGGGTGGGAAGATGCTTTTCTGATGTCATTTGTGGGGCGGGAAGATGGTCTTCTGATGAGGTTCGCGGGGCAGGAAGATGGTTTTCTGATGAGATTTGCGGATCTGGAAGGTGGTATTCCGGTGCACTGTATGCGTCAGTAACATGGTTTTCCGGCAATTTGGAGGAGCCTGGGAGGTGGTTTTCCGGCAACGGCTCTTCAGCAGATGCATTGTTGCTGTGATGATCAAGTGGGTTCTCTAGCGGCTCGTTCTCCATCCCAGGGTTGAGGCCGTAGGATCGTCGTTTCTTGGCGGTTGGCCACGATCTTTTCCTTCTTTTTTTCCGTTATCCTTTTTCTTTTTTTTTTTCTTTTTTCTCTCCCTCTTTGATCAATCAGATGGAAAGAGAAGGAATGATGCAATAACTAGGGTTTTGATAATAGATTCCGGTGTAGCTGGTTTGAGTTATATGATCTGATTTGCCTTGATTATCTCTGGGTTTTCCTCCCGTTGCTGTTGAATTTGGACGAAAAAGAAGGGGATGAGCTAGGCTTCTTACGGTGACCATAATACCACCGATAAATATCCCCTGTCAGCAATAATGGAAAATGTTGTTTAAGGGCATTTTCGTCAATACCGCTAATCATTCATATCAGACGTTATCCCTTATTCCATAGTTCGTACGACGTCGACGCTGCCGGGGATCAGGTAAGTCAAGTCAATAGCCGTATCGCCGGATAATCTCAAAATTAAAACGACAGTGGATTACTGGAATGCTTGATGGTCAAAGTTATCTCGAGTACAAGTGCATCACAAGCCACATATATATGAAAGGGTAATCAGAACTTTTAGGTCATTTATATTTGGGGTAATAGCATATAAGGGCAATTTTTGAAGTTTAATATCAATAAAAATATTTAAAAATAAATAAAAATAAATTAACTTTTTAAAAATAATATCAATAAATGGCAAAAATAATGTTCATCATCTTATGCTTACCATTTGTTCACTAGCACCACCACCCGCCACTACCGTCTGTTCTCGCTTCCGCCTTCGACAACATTGTCGGATGTGACCAAAGGCAAGGGTGGCAGCGGCAGCAGAGCTGATGGTCATTTCTCTGCCCAATGTCGTCACCTCCGCCCACTTTTGCCTTCGCCCACCTCTGACAATGTTGCCAAAGGCAAAGGCGGAGATGGGCGGCAGTGGCAGGTGGTGGCAGGCAGCAACAGACGGCGACGAGCGACGACACTTGTGAACAAATGGCAAAAAGAAGATGAATAGTATTTTGCTCTTTATTGATATTATTTTTAAAAAATTAACCTATTTTTATTTTTTTTAAATATTATTTTTATTAATATTAAACCCCAAGAGTTGCTTTTATATGCTATTATCCCTTTATATTTTGACAGTTAAACATTACACACCCTTGTGTATATTTTTTATATTATTATACAAAGCAAAATCATCACCAAATAATGCCATCTTCATCAAAATTGAATATATTATTTGTTGTTTATGCACGATAATGATCTCATAAATATATAACAGGGATATTTTTTCATTATGTAATGTTTAATTGATGGAATACTAATAGATACACTTAAGTGGCTATTTTTTTAGAATTTAGGGTATAGGTGTTGCAATTGAAAGTTTAGGGTACCTATTTCTTATTACCTCAAACCCAAAAATAAGATTCCTATATGAAATATTGTGACATCCGGGTCCACGGTCCTAAATTGATGCAACATTGCAAGATTTCTTGCCCCAAGGACATGAAAGTCATCTAACGGGGCTACTGAGGATTGATGAATTATAAATCTTGCTCTAATAGACATAACCCTAGTATTAACTCTTTTTCATTTATCATTTATTAATACAAGGTTACGAGTAATATGCAATGTGAAAATAAAGAATGCATGTGTACAAGTAAAACTAAATATATAAATTAATAATGTATTATCAATTTTAACTTTTAAAAGCCCAAATATACTTTAGCTTTGAGTTCTATAATATAAACTTCACTTTTAAATGGGATCCATGATCAATGGTATCGTCTTCATAAAACCCTTTCATGTCAACAAATCCATTCCCTTTAGCACCTCCTCAACTCATCTTTGCTTAAATTATTCTCTTATTCCATACAAGTCAAAAACCCCAAATAGCCTTCCTCACATGTAATTTATGTRTATCCAACCATGTAAGATGACTCCCAATAACAAAAAATTGCAACTTTGTAGCAAAATGCACACAATAAGAGTTACAGGTGATACTTTTTATATAAATAAAAGTTATAAGTGATTCAAATGCTTTGTTTTTTTGAAAACCAACAAAAAAGTGAAGTTTGGTTMTTTGGTCAATAATGTTTGGAGGCTTATGAGTATGATCCCCGCAAAAAAAAAAAATTTACTCTCTCCTTAACTATAGGATCCTCACAAAAAAAAATGTGGGACAGAGGCTTCCAAATTGATATTGCTTGCAATCTTTTTGCGGGAATGTGGAGGATGTGGATCACATTTTTAGGACCTGAACTGATTGATGATAGTAACAATATTAAAACTTGGTGGGAAATTTTGGATAAGAGTGCAAAAAATAGTAGTCAAATTAAGGAGAAAAGCGCCTTAATTCACTTGTTTTTATGGAAATTTTGAAATGATAAAATTTTCAATAATAAAAGTGAAAACCCATGTATTATTCTTGATCTGGCTCTCAATATGTTTCTAGATGGTCAATATAGCCTCAATCTAGATATAGATATAGATAAGAATTGTAGGAAGAGCTGGAATAATATTTTATGCCCAATACAATATGAAATCGAAGTTAACTTTGATGCATCTTGAAGGGTCTTGTGCAATTGCTTGTATAGAGGTTGTTGGAAGATTGGGTTGCTTAGGAAGCCCATAACTTGCTTTGAACAATAGGAACCATTCAATTTTAATTGAAGGATACTCTCTTATATTCATTCATTTCCTCGATATGAAGACTGATACCCCATGGAAACCAAGGACAATTATGGAAGAATGCAAGAAGGTTCGCAAGCAGAAGAATTGCGAAGTGGAGTACTTTCAAGTATTCAGGGAAGCCAATTAAGCTACATATTGGACGACAAGGGGTTTCTATCTCATTCGAATGATCATTTTTCAATTTGTAATGTTAGTATATGTTTGGTTTTGTGGGCGTTTATTGAAAAAACACAATCACATCAGTGCCACATAGACATTGGTGTTCATTGCATATGAAACCACTTTTTGTTTTCACCATTTATATGCCCATAAAACATCCAACCAAATAGAAAAGGCAAAAAACATTTAAAGTAGCACTTTTCAAATAAACATTTATCTATTAAAAAAAACACCTCCCATGAAACTCTCACGGAACCAAACATACACATAATTTCTCAATGGTATTAGTTTATTTTTTCTATGATGATTTGTGGGATCGAGCTACCCCTCGTATTGTGCAGCTCATCATATTTTCACAAAAAAAAAGCTCAATAACATGTTGATTAATAGATACATATTTAGATTTTAGAAGACAACTAAACACTTAACATTCWTTTGCTTGAAATTTGACATAATATGACTAAAGGTAGAAAAACCACCACTTGACACAAACCTTTTTGCCTAAAGAAAGAAAGAAATATATCACTTATTTATTCTTTTTTTGGAAAACTATTTATTGACCTAAGGGCAAAAACCAAAGCCTGTAAATGTATCTTTGGTCTTAAAGATTTCACTTATATAACATTATAACTTGCACAAAAGCTAGTGCAAGTATCTAATTTTTAATAGCATAGATAGAATAAATAAATTGGATTATATTGAAAAATATATTAAAATAAAGTAAAAAATGTTATTTTGTTTAAGTATAAATGTAAAATAAATTTAAAAAACACAAGATTTTAATTTAATAAAAGTGAATATATAAATTAAATACAAAATAAACAATTGTAAAGAACGCATACATACATACATAGACACTATTATAAAAAAAGTATGAATGAGGGTGTAGAACTTTTATTGACTAAATTGCCCATATTTGTGTATTTAGTCCATCTCTAATAACGGGGGTTGAAAAATATAATTTTAATTATGCTTTCCATCTCATTTAATCTTCTCTCATGAAGTCTTATATTTAAGGTATTAACTCTCACTCTCTCTTATTAAATCATATATTGAAGTTATTTTTTAACTAATAAATGCTACTAATTAAGTCTATATCCAACACTATAACAATATAAAATCATATACTTTAAAACTTACTAAAAAATAAAATCATTATTTATCTAAATGATGACTAAGCAGATCAACCATCTGAATCAAATTGGTTAACCTATATRAAAAATGAAACTACAAAAATGTAKAAAAAATTACACATTTATGATATTTTTATTAATAAAGATAAAAAATAAGTGTAATAAACAATAATTATTTTTTATTAATGATGAAAATGAAACACATAATCCAAAACTAATCATAAAATGAAATTATTTTCTTGTTTAGTGGAGATCAATAGTTCAATTTTTGGGCCAAATGTGTCAACTTTTAATGTCATAATTAATTAATAAAAATGAATATCACGTAAATTAAAAATACGCTAAATTTATAAAAAAAAAACATTTGGACACATGTATAATATTATATATCTATCATATTAAAAAAAGTAAGTGTATATAATAGAATTATTCTTATACACATATAAATAATATATATATACACACACAACATATATAGAATAAATTGAACACATCTATAATTCTATATTTATACTACTGCTAAAAATATGAATAATATTGTGGAATTTTATTTTGACTAAAATATCATTTCTTTAGAATTTAATCCACATTTAATTGTGAGGTTTAAGATGTAATACGAGCCACTACTTTTCACCCATTTCAATTCCCTATCTTTAAATCTTACATTCTTTTTGATAGATGAACAAAAAAATATACACTAAGAAGATAAAAACAACCCAATATGAGGTGTTTATGTAATCGGATTTGGATTTTGCAATCCGCATTCAAATAATAATAATAAACAAATATATAAAAATAAATACATTATTTTTATATAAAACATTTGATGCATTATTACTATTATTATCATCATTTTGAATTGCCACATGTAAAGCACATGCACGCTTAATAGTATGTATGTGTGAATAATGTTATAAGCACGAAACAAAGTAAAATAAAGATAAAAATAAAAAATGTAGGGTTAATATTAAAACAAATATAAACATTTGACATGAAATAAAAAAAAATGTAATTTAAACACAAATAATTTCAGTGTATACATTATTTAATGTAAATAGAGAATGTTATAAACATGGAAATTAAAAAAATAATTAATAAAAAGCATAAGATTCATATTAGAAAATATGCATGTAATAAAAATAAATAAATTATATGTGTCTCTACATACATATAATGCATACACACACACATAAAATTAGTTTGGTTAGATAGAAAATAAGAGATGAATATAATGTTGAAGAGTTCTTAAGGGTAAAATAATTAAATCTAACAATTGACTAAARCATACCCTACTATTTGAAGATTCTCTTAAAGTACCCTTGAGTTTTTTTATTGATAAAACCCCCCTTGTTGGTAGTACATTGTTACAAATTATCTACATTTTATGTCACATGATTTATATAAATTTTCTTAACTCCAAAACTACTCAACAACATTCATCTATCAGCCTTTTTTAACTTTAGATGAATAAAGTCATAAATAG